AAATCTGTATACTTGGGGTTGTGGCATTAAGTTGCAACCCCAATGTAGATTTGATCCTAGTGGTTAAAAGGTAGTGGTACAAAACTTATTATTTACGGTACAAATTAGTACAAAATTATGGCACAAACGTTTTTAAGAATCTGAATATTTGGAGTGGTGGGGTTTAGTTGCAACCCCATTGTATAGATTTGGTCCTAACGTTTAAAATGTAGTGGTACAAAATTTGGTACCCGTGGTACAAATAAGTACACAATTAGTACAAAATAACGGTATTAATAGATTTGCTATTCTTTTTAGTGGGGGTTGCAACTTAATGCACCCCCTGGAAATGTAAACAATAATTTAACACTCATTAGAGGTCACGAGGGACGACCAAAATATATAATATTAATAATGAACAAATTATTCACTTAAGAAATATTGGTTTCAATTGGACAAATATAAGCAAGATATTATGCATATCGAGAAATACTCTCTATAGAAGAAAAAGAAATTTTGGTCTTCAAAATACCTTTATTTTTTAAGAAGAGTTGATATAATTGGCAGAGCATTAAGACGGAGAAATACAATACAAAGAGTATAAGTAGCCATATATAGCCGATACTAACTCAACTCCATGTAAAATCCCATAAGACGATTTTCAAATCTCCTGAAGGTCATCTTCCTCTGGCGGCGATTTTGAAAACTAGAGCTCTCAAAGGGTAACGACCTTAATGGAGCCTCTGGTAGTCACTTTGAGGTCAGCGATTTACCAGAGGGAGGGGATGTCTTAAGAGGGCGTGATTAACTACTTGGGGGAATATAAAGTGGTCGGTTGTTAGACGCAATTGATAGACAGCAAGATGACAAAAACCACTGAATCAGTTGCGAGAAAAGCAAAGGTATCGCCAGTGTATATATCACAAAAGAAGAGGCTTGAGAAGTTACTCATAAATTTGAAAAAATTAAAGTGGGATATTGAAGTATTTCAATGCCAACGACAAATTAATAAGTTAAATTTAAAATGATTTGAAAATCGTCTTATGGGATTTTACATGGAGTTGAGTTAGTATCGGCTATATATGGCTACTCACATAATGTGTGATAGTTTTATCATTACCTGTTTGTCGTAAATCTTACTGTTTGTTTGTCTGTTTACAATTTGACTTATCTTATCCATGTACCTAAATGGCTAAAAAAAGATGAAATGTATATTATTATTATTATTAACTTTCCTCTAATTTGAGCCACGTCGTATCTTCTATGGTTTCGGAGATGATAGGCATATCCTTCTCTTGGACACAGTGTATATCTCGGTAAATGTATACAACGTGTTACTATAATAAAAGTTTTATTTCCACCCTTTTTATCCTTATACAAGAAACATATTAAGTAATTACATCGATAACACTAATCTAGACATCTGAGAACTTTTGAATTTGTCCTAAAAATTGATTGTAGGCAAGTAAATGTGACAGAATCGTATGTATCTTAAGAAGTTGGTACATCGAAAATTAAAAATGGTTCAACAATTAACAGAATCTGAACGCATAGAAAAATTCCGATTTGATGACCCAAAATCAAACACCACAGTAACTTAACATATGGATCAGAAGTGAACAGTATAAAACCACTTCAGAATCTGGACGAATTAGTTCAACAAATACAAGAACAAGCTGAAACAATTCATCCCAGAAAGCTCAGAAATTCTTTTGAAGCTTTTCATGATAGGCTAGGTCACTGCCTTGTAGTTAATGGTGAAAATTTGGACACTTAATTGTGATGAAAATCATTTTATTGCTAATTTCGTTTTATCTTCAAAATTTAATAAGAAACTTACACGTTCATTTGTTTAATTTTTATGTAGGATATCTAGATTAATGTTATTGGTGTATAATTACTAATAGAGTTTTTAAATTTTGTTGAAAAATTGTCTTGTATAAGGGTACTAATATGTTAAGTCAAGAGAAGAAAAAAAATTCTAATGGGAATCAACTTTTAGTTTGTGTATACAGTCGTTATTTCCCGAGATATATACAATATTTCATACATGGGCACCCTGTATAGCCAGCAGAGAAATATCGGCTGAGTAAGTATACAATTTACTGCTAATTAAGTGATAAGTTAGTACTACAATTCAAATTTTTTGGAGTAGTACTATCAAAGACTATCGTAGTCTTTCTTAGTCTTTGGTACTATGTTCTGCTAGCTACATATTTACTTATTGCACCTATGTCCCAAGAAGTACCTAGCAAAACATAAGGTATTTAGTAATTAATTAAGCAATGGACTGTAATCCAAATGAATTGCTTCTTTATTTTTAGAATTAAAAGGGGCGGTCCGTAATTGTGCCAGTAGTAGTTGGCTATAATGTTCTCCTTCTAGTATAAACGTAGAGTCGTTGATAAGTTCATATACTCGTAAAGTTAACCGCCCAGTGGAAACAAAGTCATCAAGAAACAAAAACGTTTGAACAAAAACACAACTAAAACATATGCAAATTTTGAAAACTCGCACAGAAATTCGAAAAGTATAAGTGAAAAATCTACCAACAATGCAAAGAGTGGTAGAACAAAAAGTAATTACTGATTAATGAAGAGTAAATTTAGTGTCCCAAATGGAAGTCAGTATGCCTTTATATACAGCATGTTTTAGCAGATATATACAGTCTATTTCAAATTAAGTTGGTACTATTGCTAACTTAGTTGCAGAGCTAGAAAGACCGTTAATTCTCAAAATTGTCTACTTTTTGTCTACCGCGTCCAAATCTGTAATTTAAAAAAACAACATCGCATGTTTCAGATAATAAATTATATGGAACACCCGGTATATTATTACATCATACGGCAGTTTATTAAGCTCAAACAGCACTATGTAATAAACTTCAAAGTCAGAAACTACAACAGGAAACGTTACATTATCGTTCTCATGAATAACTAGATCGAAATGAAAATAATTGAAAAATCTTCTTTAATTGAGAACTGCCATATGATATAATAATACACAGGGTGTTTCATATAAATTTTTGTTATTATTAAAAAAAATGCGATGTTGTTTTTTTATTTCAGATTTGGATTTATAAGGAAAAAAATACACAATTGTGATAATTTAACCGTGGTTCTAAGACTGTATCTCTACAGAAAGAGTTTTTTGCAAAACAAAGCGACATAAAGTAGTAGAAACACAAAAATGAAGTGAATTAGTGAATTCAATTTAGTGCTCGAATTCAAGCTTAGTGTTTTATTTATTTTTATCAAAAAGATGATTTTGCATGAATGGTGACGCGAGCACATTGGTTGGGATAACGCAGAAACATTCTTTTCAATATCTCAAAATAACTGAACAGAAAGTCAATTATTTATTATTAGTAAACTGTTCGTTTCTAATATCTCGCATACCTCATTTTAGTAGACCTCCCATTATATGTGGGCTTCAAAATGCTGCACGTTTTGTTGGTTTGGATTCTACCATTCATTTTTATTCACTATGTAATGACTTTGAAGCGGGTCGGGGACGTTTGTAACAAACTGTTAAATTGTTACCAGAAAGACTTACTTGCAATTAATTTTGAATACATTCTTAGGATGCCACGAAATGGCTCTAAAAGAGTTTGAAACTGGACAATGCATCCTTAGAAGCGCAGCTTAAGACTTATAATTCATGTCATTTCAGTTTATATGTACAGGGTGACAATTTGAAAACTTACCACCCCCCCATATCTTATTAAATAAACGAGATATTTAAAAAAATCAAAATCCGTTTCGGTAATTCGGAGGGGGAATCACAATGACATAGTTGGCGACGCACCCCCTCCAACCCCTGCGCCCCAGCCACCCCAACTTTTAAATCTTAAATAGTGACCCCCCATGTGTGATACGTCGTTGGAAAGCTCTGAAAAAATGCTTTCCAACCATACCAAATAGCATTACATTTAGGTTAGTAATTATCGTCCAAATAAAAAAATAAACTAATATGATACATTTGAAATCTGTCGTATTTAAAACGCAACCGGCGAACATAGACGAACTAAGACAGAGAATAATATTCAAGAATGTCGAAATATTGCAAAACCAACATTTGAAAAGGTTCGACAAGAGTTTGAGAATAGATTATAACTGGCGATCAAAAATGAGTTGCTGTCGAGTCGGCTTTGGAAGTTCAAGTTAAATACGATTTTCCATGTTTATTTTTTGATTTGCACGATAATTACTAACCTAAATGTAATGCTATTTGGTATGGTTGGAAAGCATTTTTTCAGAGCTTTCCAACGACGTATCACACATGGGGGGTCACTATTTAAGATTTAAAAGTTGGGGTGGCTGGGGCGCGGGGGGTTGGAGGGGGTGCGTCGCCAACTATGTCATTGTGATTCCCCCTCCGAATTACCGAAACGGATTTTGATTTTTTTAAATATCTCGTTTATTTACTAAGATATGGGGGGTGGTAAGTTTTCAAATTGTCACCCTGTATATTAAATCAATACACTAAATCAAAACTCTAGTTGTTGACTTCCGTATTAGAATGAAAGTCAATATTAATAAGGTAATTATTAATAAATTTAATTTTTTTCTAGTGGCTGCTGAATTCTCACTTATAATTGCACAAGAGGTTTGTATTTTACCGAGTAAATTTGGGTTGTTAAGGTAATGAAAATCTGTTGCCTAGCAATTAGACGAGAAAAACTGTCAACTAATAAAAATGCGACACCGCAGGTGGAGCATTTTTAGGTTGACAGTTTTTCGAGTTCAATTGCTAAACGGAAACAGATTTGAGTTGCAACAACCCAAATTTACTCGGTTTAAATACAAACCTCGAGTGTAATTCGGCAGGACAATTTAACGAACAAGAAATTCACCAAACTAATCAATTATTGACAGACGTCAAACTAGTCATATGGGAAAGGATAATGCGATAATTCTTTCGAAAATGAATAGTGAAAAAACCACTAGTGCATTTGTCGCTGGAAAAGATGCAGGTAACTTTTGCCGCTGTCAAAGTGACAATTGCACTGCGGCTTATGCGATTTTTTATACATGAGTTGAATTGTCACTAGAATTTAATTTCCTACCCGAAGTGAGAGTGATTACAACCCCTACTTTACAAACTCATTCGAACCTTAGAAACTAATTTTTTAACTCAGTTAGCAATTCATCAAAATTTACTTTGAAACAGGACAAAATTCGTTCTTTCCATCTGATCTAAAAACAAAAAAATGGTATAAACTATATTTTGAGTACTTAGCTACCAAATTCTTAAGATGGTTTCATTAATATCTGATTTTAATTTCATGAAAACATTATTTTTCGAAAAAAAACCCCAACTTCATCTTAAAAACTGGTATGAGTGGATATAAGGCAAATCCTTACTTTAAAAATTGTAACTGAGGTGACCTAGTAACTTCCCCAGGTCTTCCTTGTTAAATACTGACTTTTATGTTATATTCAAATGCTCTAGAATGAAACTTCTTGAAATTACGGTCTTGTGAAGCGGATATTTGATTGAGAGGTATCCGTCGATTATATGAGATATTTAATGCAGTCGAAAGGCGGCTGGTTAGGTATGAGAATAAGTGCATAACCCAAAATAACCCACTCCTATAGCATCAAGTTCAGACCTGGGTAAGCTTCTAGGAGACGGGACTTTGGGATCTGCAACGTAGAGCTTGAAACGTCTTGTCAAAAGAGCGAGAACTGACACGGGCTGTGTCGACGTGAGCAGTTGCTCTTTCAAAACCAAAACGGTTCGGCGGAATGCCTTTAGAACACGGCTTAATCTTTTCAGATTATTTTCCATATTGACACCATACTAAATAATTTATCCGGCTCGAAGTACCAATGGTTTTTATTTTACAATTCTGACAATACTATTTTTTTATGAGACATCAAACTGAAAAGCGATTATTCCTTTGCCACCTCATTTATGGCGCCGACACCAACACGAATGCTGACAGTAGGGATTGCTGTCATAGGTTTTGGATCTTGGACTTGGACAATGGAAATTAAAAAAAACGCAAGGAGTTTTAAAACAAGTTTATTTAACGATCAAATTACAAACTAATTTCATTAATTAGGGATTAGGTGCACGATGTCATAGAATCACTGTTAAGCGGTACTGTCGAAGAATCATTCACTCGTTCACACGTTTGGTTGTCATTAACTTTTAACTGCACACCTTCAAACTCAATCCCTTTCATTTCGTTTGAAAATGTAGATATATAAGTAAATATAATTAATGCCAAAATCCATTCCGAAAATGTACTTGCTAATCGAAAGTTATGACCTTCATTTTCTTCGGTCCACCACATTTTGGATTCACCTGCCGATTGAACAAATCGTTAATTAGAAATAAAGGTGCCTATGTAATGAATACCAGTAAATTTTGCCCCTCCCAAAACTTCGCATACAACTATCAGTATAAGTATCGGTAACATAGGAACTGCTAATAGAACTCTTAAGTAGAACATCCATTTTGGAATACTTCTTTGACAAGCAGAAACATACGCGTACGATATTCTGGTCTGCAATTAAATATGTTTTATGTATGATCACCTAGAGTATTTGTATTTACACCTGTAGTGCTAAGTAAACGCTTCCAATACCGAAAGCCATTAAGGCACCAATTAAATGGACAATTAGAATGTTATTTTCTTGGAAATTTGCAGTTATGCTTATACCAAGACATACTGAAATACTAATTTTAAATGCTACGCTGTTCCATTTTGAATGTAACTTTATGTTTTGGGTTTTTATGTCATGCTCAACTTGGCGATACCTAACATACATTAAACATTGCACTAAAATGACGATAAAGAATAAATGAATAGGCATTTGGTAGACTTACGTAGTAGTGCTCCTAAATTCTCCAATTGCGAAAACACGCAACTTGCAGGTGGCAGTGCTCCAGCTTCGCTAATGTACGGAAAAAAATAATACACACTCCTTGTCTTCACGGCTATTATATATCTACGATTAGTAATTAATATTAGACAAGGTCAATGTTATCTTAAAATGGACAATGGTTGAACGATGGTAAGTATCTATTAAATTAGTCATCACATCACATCATTTATGTAAGGCATAAGAAATGTGTTCGTCCCGGTGGTGTTTAACTAGGGATGTAACGGAAGTGGTTATATCGGAACCGAAATCGGAATCCAAAATGCAAAATCAATCGGAAGTTCCGCTCTTTCGGAACCGGAACCGAATCTCCGTTACATCCCTAATGTTAACTGTGCAAAGTTTGAACCAAATCGATCCAAGCGTTTGACAGTTATCGTGTTCATGGACAGACGGACACCATCGACTCCCCTATAAAGCTTGCATCGCTTTGCTCTGCCGCTTAATAGTGCGAAGTTAAGCGTGACCGTGATTTTGTATTCGTATTCGATAAACGCACCCCTAATCGCGAATCAAACAGCATAATTTTTGCATTGTATATCAGTGGGGAAAATTCCGAAAGAAGCTAGATCGGAGTGACGCCCACCCCGCCCACCGATTTGAATTTTACAAACTAGAACCAACCGTGTGCGGACAATTCGCGCCCGGACAGTTCGCACTCGGATAATTCGCACCCGCACATTTCGCTCCCAGGATATTTCGCACCCTGGACATTTCGCTCCCGGATAATTCGCACCCGGACCATTCGCACTCGAAAAATTCGCTCCCGAATAATTCACACCCGGATAATTCTGTAAATCTTTGGTTTATTAAAATTAAATATTTTTAAGAGGCTACTAGACCATTGCCTTTACAGAATGTATGTAGTAGTGCACATCTTGGTAAACATCTACTTCATGGAAAAATGTTTCAAATAATAGTTATTTGGTCTTTCATTTTCAACACATCGCGATTCTTTAAGTATTTCCATTTCTTAAATATAATCACGCTGGTTTTTTTTTGAAGTTGTATGAAGAGTCTGATATAGTTAAATCCTGTAATTTAAGAACACATAATTTTTATCTACTGCGCTTTCGTTTTGTCAAAATAAGAAAAGGTAACTGAAACGTCTTTTGTGGAGTAATTAAATACCAAATAGTTATACCTAGTTATAGTATATCTACAATATTATTACTTTTGAAACGCTCTTAATATTAAAACAGAATCAACATATAATACCGTACACAAACAAAGTGATAAGTCTAAAGTTAAAAATATTTACATTATAAGATCAAGATGAAAATAGAAAAAGGAAGTAATTTTAACGCTCCCTTACATACAGATTTCTTAATGAAAACACATAAAAAATTGTTCTTTATTTCTTTAGTTGAAAAGGGTGACAAAGGAAATGAATTAAATTTATTTTAGACAAAACGAGTATGTATAAATGACAATAGAACAATGCATTTCATAGATGGCACTAAATTTGGATAAGTAAATAAGGTAATATTATAATTAAAGGTAAATTTGAAAAGACCCCGATAACACAAATTGCACTTCATAAAGAAACAATAAGAGAAATATCGTAATGACATCCTTTCTATTATTTCTGGAAGATGAATAGGGTTTATTACAAGGTAAAAGCAATTAGGTCCGAAAAATCAGGTTTAAGTACGTATGACCACAACTAATTAGAACTTTAACGCCTGTATCTTCATTCTTGAACGTTTGAGAGTGGTATTTTAAAATTTATCTGAGCACGGGTTTTGATTTTTTCTATTTCGGTGTCACAATGATGATTTTGTACAACTGTTTTCGGCCGAAAACAGTTGTACAAAGACAGTGATTATAGTCGTTTTTTTTGGTAACTCATCTCTTAAGTTGGCAGTTACTAGTTAGTACATGTAGTTACTTCGTTGGGTACTTCCATGTTTGAACTTCAAAATGTCAGTCTTACTACGCTGCCAACCTAAAACTTAACGGCATAAAAAGTGTTCCCAACATAAAACATGTTAGCTCTAATGTTTCCCTATAGTTTCTGATAATGATTTTTTAAATTAAATTAAAGCACCGAAATAGAAAAAATAGTATGAAAAACGCGTGTTACAATGCTTTATTGTAATACTCCTATCTTGCGGACACTCGTTGCTACGCTTCGCGTCGCCACTCGTGCCACAAGATAGTCGTATTACAATAGGTCGCATTGTAACACTTGTCTTTCAATATACTATTGTGTATACTTTTTTTTTAATTTTAAAAAATTTTATTTCTGGTGGTAGTGTTGTGGTGGTGTTCAGAAAAGGTAAGTTTCCAGTTTTCTTAGAACCAGTTTTACGTTTCTTTGACCACATATGCTATATGTTGATTATTGGTGACTGAGATTACACTAACTGCTTATTTTTTTGCGTTATCTTTGCTACAACTAATGGTAGGGAATGAACTTTAAAGTTTCTTTTTGATTTTCTTACTGTTATTTATTTTATAGTTTGAAGAGATACATGGAAAAATTCTGGCATTTTTTTAAGAAATTCTTAATAATCAAAACAGTAGGTAAGGGTTTTGAAAATCTTGAAACGTTTTAGGAACAGCTCGATATTGATGATTTTTTCTTTTAAATGTTTGTAATTATTAAGTACATATATACTTCCTTTTGGCTCCGTTAACTTAGCACCACCATTTCAAATTTTTGACTAAAGACAGATTGCGCTAGAATCTCTATGGCTAGCGCCAGCTAGCGCCACTTTGAGTTCAGCTAGCGCCATATTATAGATTTTACAGAAAAGCCCTTGATTTTCGGGGGGTGCTATGTTAACGCTAGCACCACCATTGCGTCCGATCATTTCCAAAAGCAAGCGCTGTGTTCGTCAGACCTAGCGCCAGCTAGCGCCACAAATTTTAGAGCTAGCGCCACCCCCCAATAGTGAGGGGAGCAATTTTTCCTAGCACCACCATTTTGTCTTTTCATGTAAAATTTTGACGTTTTGTGTTCTGCTGACCTAGCGCCAGCTAGCGCCACTTTGAGTTCAGCTAGCGCCATTATAGATTTTACAAAAAAGCCTTTGACTTTCGGGGGCCGGGGGTGCTATGTTAACGCTAGCACCACCATTGCGTCCGATCATTTCCAAAAGCAAGCGCTGTGTTCGTCAGAGCTAGCGCCAGCTAGCGCCACAAACTTTAGAGCTAGCGCCACCCCCCAATAGTGCGGGGGGCATTTTTTCCTAGCACCACCATTTTGTTTTTTCGGGTAAAATTTTGACGTTTTGTGTTCTGCTGACCTAGCGCCAGCTAGCGCCACAAATTTTAGAGCTGCCATCACCCTCCAATAGTGTGGGGGGGGGGCACCACCATTTTGTCTTTTCGGGTAAAAATTTGATGTTTTCTGTTCTTGTAGACCGAGCGCTCAAGTTAACCTAGCGCAATTATAAATCCTAGCGAGTTTATAATTTTGCGGTGTCTGTCCGTCTGTCCGTTAGCACGATATCTTGATAACGATAGCGAATTGACCGTTTACGATGAAATTCTGTAGATGGATTCTTTATCAAATTTGTAGATCGGAGTTCGTGAGTTGGCAATGTAGACCAAAAAATAAAGTAGGCACTTTTGACATCTCTGTGAGTTATGAACCGAATTGTATGAAATTCAATATGTGTATAGCTTTAGCCATATAAAACGCAATTCCAAAAGTTGAGCCTAATCGATCAACATTCACAATGCTATTTTCGCATCTCGACCATTTACAAACCGGATTGAAAACTTTCTTATTTATGGAAGCATTTAAAAGAAATTTGATACATAGCCACTTGGAATAAAAGCAAATTTAACACCAAGTTCAAAATTTGGTTTTGCACATGCTGTAGCCATACCCAGGAGCTCGTTTTCCATATTTATTTACACGTCGATGCGAAAAGGGCACTGTGAATGTTGATAGATTAGGCTCAATTTTTGGAATTGCGTGTTATATAGCTTAAGCTATACGAATATTGAATTTTATGCCATTCGGTTCAAAACTCACGCAGATGTCAAAAGGGCCTTACTTATTTTTTGGGATACATTACCAATTCACGAACTTCGATCTACAAATTTGATAAAGGATCCAACTACAACATTTCATCGTAATCGGTCCATTCGTTATCGAACTATTGTGCTAACGGACAGACATCGCATCTGGGATGGTCAAACTCTTTACCTTTTTTAAACCCGAATGTGCAAATCTGTCCCTCTTAAGGTCGGAAATAATAATCAAATTATTTCAATTTGAAATCCTTTACTTTTTGGATTGATCGTTCTGTTTAAAGTAAAAAGTTCCAATAAAAATACTAAAATTTGTATATAAAGTAGCAAGATTGTAACCCTTCACTTCGAAGTAAACTGACGGTGAGGTATGCAGGTACAAACTTACTTAAATCCTTTATGAATGCGCAAAAGTTGTAAATTATTTGTCACATCAAGGGTTTACAGGCGCGTTAATTGTGTGAATGTTGGTAAATCTGTATTGTTAAAAAAACACCTTTAGATAGTAGTCGACGTGACGTACATAGGTATATAATTTATCGAGAGTAAATACACAAGAGCTTGATTTTTAATCGCATAATTTTATTTTTACACGAAAGTTTTGTTGCAACGGAAAAAACTCGAAACCAAAAGTGTGATAAAATCGCGACCGTTTTAGCTGGAGCGATTTTATTAATATTATGCTTTTGATCGAGAGTGTTTTCCAGAAGACAACAAAATTTGAGTGAATTAAAAATAAAATTATCTTGACCAAGGTCGAGTGTATTTTACGGAGATAAATAAAAGAGTAAATTTTACAACCACTACATATTTTACGTATTCCTACACGCATTTTTATCGCTGTAAAAAGCTACCTAGCGTTTAATCAGATAAAAAATCATCTGATTGGTTAGAATTTGAAACAATCACCTAGCTGATTGGTCGTATATTAATGGAGTGTATTAATCATATAAAATACATATGCCTTATTTGCACCCTAAAAATTAGTTAGCTATACGGAAATTACACATAAGTATATAAGAACTGCTTCTTTGTTTTTTAGCAGAATTAACAAATATGCTGATTGATTTAACGAC